CACGGTCGGATACCCCATATGCCGAGGCACCCAAGACACTTCCAAAATAGCTCAAGGCCATAAAGGGCCATGTCAGGCTGTGGATTGCTTGCCATCAGACAGCGCAGCCCCTGCGAAGCCACAGCCTCAGTAAAGCCTCAAGAAGTTTCAGGGGTAAAGCGGACAGCCAGTTCCAAAGAGAGACGGTCGCAGCAGCCCAGGTCCGACAGCAGGGACGCGGCTCTTTGTGAGGCATTCCGTGGGATGTTTATGAGGGAGAAGGGAAAGGCAGTGACTGGGCCACATGCAAGCACAAGAGCGGGAGCCCCTACTTGCTCAGGATATTTTAGCAAAAGAGATCTAAGCCCTACCGGGGAGGGGGGTAAAGACTCTCCTCTTTCGGATTTAGGAACTTAGGCTAAAGTTTGGCCCTGTGGGGGAGAGACGGCGAGAGAGAATGCTGCGCATGATAAGCGTGTTGGCTGAGTAGGGTTTTAACACCCAGCGGTTATTTTGTATACCCAATCCCCGAAGATTGAAGATTTCCCAGGACTCTTTCGGCGAATCTTCAGTCTTCAACCCTTGGTTGGGGGGGGGGGGGTGGGGGGGGTTGGGTTTTCAAACCACAGGCCGAGTTTTAACACGCTCGTTTAAACCACGAGCCGAGTTTAAAAACTCTCCCTGCCGAAGATTGAAGATCAAAGGTTCCACACTCTTTCGGGAAATCTTCAGAGTTCAAACTTCGGAGACGGGAGTTTTAAAGTTCGCCAAAGAACCACGGGCCGAGTTCTATCACCCGGCACATAAGGAAGAATATTATGTTAAGCAAGAAAGAAATGGTAGGTTTTTGTTCGGGGGGGGGGTTACCATCTATGTATATATATATATGTATATGGACCAGACTTGGGCATGGAGGACATGCGGAGATTCTGGCAGTCTGACGTCTCACATCCGTCACAAGCCAAAAGCAATCGGACGAGGAAGTTCAAGAAACACAAGTCTAGCTCCTCCAGCTCGTCGTCTTCGTCTTCAACCCCTCCAGGACGGAGGATCCTGCCATGGTCCTTCGACGTCGAATGGTACACTGTAGACACTGCTGCTTCCATGTCGGTGTACAGCATGTGGGGCACATGCTGTGGTGATCCACAAACAACATGTCAACGATCTCTGTGTTGCGTGCTTCTCAGAATGCTGTAGTCCATGTCTGGCTACGGCCGCTGAACATAATGATGCCGACAACTCTCACAACAGTCGCGAAGATGAACATTTGTGTCGTACGGGGAATCTCGGAGGCAGGCCTGTCGCCGAGCACTTTTTGAGAATTGTGCTGGAATGGACCTGCAACTGCTCCGATATGTTTCCCATGCTTGGATCTTCTGTCTTCTTGGCCATCTCGTTTCGATCTTAAGGGTTTCGTGCGAGGGGTTGAAGACGCAGACAACGAGCTGGAGCAGCTAGACTTATGTTTTTTGAACTTCTTCGTCCCATGTTTATTGCTTTGTGACGGATGTGAGACGTCGGACTGCCAGCATCTCCGCGGCCATGTCCTTCATGTCTACGTCTGCGGCTGCCCACGACTACCCATCCTCATCACCAGCATGGGCCCAAGCAACCAAGAATTCACAGCCGTCGTCGCCCACCCCTGAACGTCATGGGTGAAAGGGACACGTTTAATAGCATGTGCTCTGAGACCACAGGAACCAGCGCAAGTGTCTTTGATAGCTAGCCATGCATGGCTCCTCTGCTTTGAACTTTCACCGGGCCAGGACGGCAGCCAAAGCTTCGGCGAAGCTGCTGGAGGCAGTTGCCTGGCAAACCCGATGTACTCATTGTCGCGGTAAAACTTCAGCGTCGGGCCCCGATGCACAGCTAAAAGTCAATCAGCTGTGATGTCTGAAAATTTGTGGTTGTGAGTAGCCACCCATGTCCAATCCTCAAAGCAGCGGTCCGGGAAGGTGCCTCGACAAATGAGGCCTGGCCCCCTAGCCAGCGGCTGCTTGGTAGCGCTGTAGATCTCCGACCCCAGTCCCAATGATTTCTTGGGAACCGTCTGTGCCGAAGCAGAAGATGACATTCAGACCCAGAAGCCGTGAAATCAGTTTCTTCCAAGGCGAGTCTGGACAACTGCACCATCGAGGAGCTCAAAGACATGATCTCAAAAGAGATCATGGAGGCTCAAGGGCTTCAAGTCTGCCCAACATGGTCCAAAGCAACTTACAGATGGAAGTATGGATGAACCAATAGCTGGTGCATGCTGGTGCGTAGGGCCGCGTAGGGCCAGTGGATGAACCAACAGCCAACAGCTCACGAGAGCACAACAGCCAGCTATCCAAAGTGGCAAAATTGAAAGAGCCATGCTCAAGCGGAGGCTGCTCCCCGAAAAGGCGGCGTGGAATCGCAATCTCAAGCCAAGGCCAGCTCGTGTGGCTATGTGGGAGATTGTCGGTGTTCAGGGCCTCAAGGGCGTGAGCAAGGGTAAGGGCCGGTAGGGGCCGGTCTACAGATATCCAACCATTGGAGGGGAGTATCATAAGTTGCGACTGGCAGTGGGACCGAGCAGTGGTACATCGTGGGTCGAAAATCTACAAGCTCTGTGTGCCCAACAAGCTATCGCACGCAAACATCTAAGCAAATTCTAGAGGTCCTGGGCGTAGCAGCGTAGCATGTGCAACACGTGTGTTTCGAGTGCGTGCCTTGAGCATCGTTACGATATTATGCATGCCGCTGTCCCATGAATCTGTCGGCGTGGCCTTCAGGAAGCCAAGACCAAACATTGAAGCCAAAAGCTCCAAAACTACCAAAACCCTGAGCCCTCTCACAACTCACATCGAAGCCTCTGAAGAAGAGGAAGGGCCTCATGAATGGCCTCATGGGCCCCATAGCCCTGCATAGTGCCTTGCATGCTCCCGGCTGAGCCGGCGCCTGCCGCCTTGACGCTGCAGCAGAAGGGCATCCGCAAGGCTCGACGCGCGCAGGATGTCGAGGCTACTGTGTGCAGCACGGCTGCGAAAACGGAGCCGAAGCAAGATGAGCACAGTGAGAAGAAGGGCTCCAAGTCACTGGAGGAAGCTGTGGAAGATGCAGCAGATGAGGCAAGCTGTCTGGAAGAGGCGCAGCTCGCGCATGCCTTCCCAGGCTTGGGCCGAGTGCCCTATGGTGCCTCGAAGGGTGGTGCCAAGGGCTTGCGACAACCACGAGGGCCCAAGAATGATTTCCAGGCTTCGACGCACTACTTCGAGCGCAAGGGAGAGTCGGATGAGCCCGAGCTTCCAAGATCTCCGCAGAGCAGTGCAGGCCAGGGATTCACGCAAAAACTCGATTTCCCGATTGTTGCCGCGATCTCAAAGTTCTGTCTCCCACATTGAAGCGCAGTAGCCTGAATACTGATACTTGTGTTCCTCCAAGCTCACAGGAGGGAGGCATTACTTCGAGAATGCCCGAGTCATTGCCTCGAAGACAGCTGGCTCAAGCTGCAGACAGCCAGTACCGCACTACCTCGGCCTCTCGGCTCAGCGAAAGGCGCCCCCTTTTTGGTAAATTTGATTCTTGCTTTCCCCGGCAACGAAAAGTTAAAGCTTCAGGGTTCTGAGTCAGTGCATGAGAGAAGATTCTCGGTACCTTGCTTGGCCTTGACAATTGAGGCTTGCACCTGGAACCTCACGCGCTGTGTCTCACCCAGCTTGCCGAAGCCTTCGCGTCGCAACTCTGGAGCACGCTGCAAGTGTCACTGGCCCTCCCTCCCTTACGATCACGATCGCGTGTTTTTGAGGAGTCTTGGGAGGGCGTCCATCGACTGGATCTTCCACTCTCGGGCTCGCAAGCCAGCTTCTTCTGGCCGCAGCCGCTGCACATGACAACTTTCTTCTTGGGAGGTTCCAGGCGAGTGCACTTCGTTCAAACCTGTTTCCGCTTCAAGGCATCTACAAGACGAGTCGGTAGCTCTCGAGTCACTCAGAAGCCAAACCAGCGCAGGCCAACACCCAAATGAGTCAGCACTCTACCAGAGGACCAGCAGGCCCAAATAACATTCAGAATACCACAAAAGAACACAAAATTAGCGTCCAGAGCCCGAGAGAAGCAAACAAAACCTGCAAAACCCGGGCAGAGCGAGATGTTCGAGGAGGGCTGGGGGAAGATGTCCATCAACCGCCTAGAAGGGTGCATGGAGGTGTTGCAATGTGGCGTGAAACATGCCGCAAAAAGCTCAACGCAATGCTCGAGTGCTTGTGAAGAACTGCCGGTTTAAAGGCTCGGGGCGGGTTGCTGGGGTTGACTCGTGCCGCCCCTCAATTGCACTACGAGTCTCTTGGCAACTCGAACTTCGAATTGCAAAGCCGTGCCTCGATGTCCCACTCCTTAAATTGTCAAGTTGTCCTCAAATGTTCCGCTCGATGCCACGCTGACAGGGCCATCCTGGAAGCTTTTCAGTGCCATGGGGTGGAAGTGGCGCTGCAGCAGCAGGGCTCCAGATGGAGGGTGCGAGGAGGACACCTTGTCTACGCCGAGAATGCTCTTCTGACTTTGTCTCTCCAGATCGAGTCGGACAGGTCGGACAGGCTGCCCATGGACCCATCTCTCATGCCCCATGTCACATTGCTCTTCAAGCCGCCCTTCACGCCTGCGCATGCCAGCGAAGTACTGCACGCTGCCTGGTGTCGGGGAATGTTGCCGGAAGCACCTTGTGAGGACGAGGAATCAGCGATCCTGGCTTCGCCGGCCGTAGAGATTGCCGGCAGCACACGGACCCTGTACGCCTGGCGCGTGCCAGGAATGGCTGTGTTCGAGGCTTGCTTAGAAAGTTTCTGGACTGCTCGAGCACCTCGCGCACTCCCATGAAAGCTCGATCCAAAAAAAATGGAAAAGGATACCCTTGGCAGGACCAATTCTAACACTGCTGCTGAGCGGAACCACCGGCTACCTTAAGTTGTTGGATGCCTGCTAACCTTGGCTCAAGGCCATAGAGATCCCAAGATCCAGAGTCCAGAGGCGGTTTGCAAAAAAGGCATCCCGATTCCTCAGCCATGCGAATTCCTGGATTGTTGTGCTTATCCGCGGTGCTGAGTGCCATTACGGCGAGTTCATCTCCTGTGGATAGCTGCTCTTCGCAAGGACCACGATGTCGCCACAGAGGGCCATCATGGCTACAGGTCAAAGATGCTGTAGAGTCGCATGCGAGTCGAGCTTCTGAGGATGCAACGTTGCACGCGGCCAGCAATAAGGGGTGCTGCAACTCTTTTAGCAGCTGGCCGGACGTCGACAACGGTGTCACTTGCACCGATTGCATGGCCCTGGTGCTGACGGCTCCATACAATGGTCGCTGTGACAAATACTGCGAGAGCTTTGGGCATGTGTGCGTTGCGGCAGCAGAGGAGAAGTCGGAAGATTGCGAGGTGCAGTACACACAGCTGTGCAATCAAGCCATCACGGGAACATCAGACATGTTGTGCAAGTGTGTTTTGCCAGACGCACCTGCTGCTTGTCCTGCCCCTACCCCAAAGTGTTGCAGTGCTTACACAAGCTGGCCGGACGTCGACAACGGCGTCACTTGCACCGATTGCATGGCCCTGGTGCTAACGGCACCATACAATGGTCGCTGTGACCAATACTGTGAGAGCTTTGGGCATGTGTGCGTTGCGGCAGCAGAGGAGAAGTCGGAAGATTGCGAGGTGCAGTACACACAGTCGTGCAATCAAGCCATCACAGGAACATCAGACATGTTGTGCAAGTGTGTTTTGCCAGATGCCCCTGCTTCTTGCCCTACCCCTCCATCTGCCACAACAACCACGACAACCATCGCATCCACATCTTCGACCACTCTCATTGAGAACCCATGCTGCAACTCTTTTAGCAGCTGGCCGGACGTCGACAGCGGCGCCACTTGCACCGATTGCATGGCCCTGGTGCTGACGGCTCCATACAATGGCCGCTGTGACAAATACTGCGAGAGCTTTGGGCACTTGTGCGTTGCGGCAGCAGAGGAGAAGTCGGAAGATTGCGAGGTGCTGTTCACACAGCCGTGCAATCAAGCCATCACGGGAACATCAGACATGTTGTGCAAGTGTGTTTTGCCCGATGCTCCTGCTTCTTGCCCTGCCCCTCCACCTACCACTGCTCCTCCGACGCCATCTCCGAACAGAAGGATTCAAGTTGTTGGAAGACAGCTGCTGGTTGAGGGTAAGCCGCTGCACATCAAGGGAGTTGCATGGAACCCCGTGGCGAAGGGAGGCTCCTACCCGCGCGATCTGGACTTCACCGGCTTTGTCGAGCAGGACGCAGCCCTCATGCAGCGAATGGGCATCAATGCAGTCCGAACCTATGAGCCCATCACCGATGTCAAGGTGTTGGATACACTCTGGAGCAAAGGCATTTGGGTTGTGAACAGTGTTTACAATTTTGGTGGAAATTCCGCAGAGTCAGCTGCAGATGCAGTAAGGGCCACAAAAGATCATCCGTCCATCCTCATGTGGAGCATTGGGAACGAGTGGAACTACAACGGTCTCTACGTGGGCATGAGCTTCCGTGACTGCATTGCTCGTATCCGGGAGGTTGCTGAAGTTGTCAGAAGCCTCGACACGGCGCACCCGATCTCTACGATCTATGGGGAAGTGGTCGACAAGCTCGATGAGGCCAATCAGCTGCTGAAGGATGAGATTGATGTTTGGGGCATCAACACATATCGGGGCATCAGCTTCGGCAGCATGTTCGATCAGTACGAAAAAGTCTCGGACAAACCCATGTACTTGGGGGAGTATGGTGCTGATGCGTTCAATGCCCTGGTCAACCGAGAGGATCGTGAGGCCCAGGCGAAGGCAACACGTGAGCTCACTGAGGAGATCCTAAGTGAGTCTTCAGTACTGGAACGCGGCGCTTGCATTGGGGGCTTCATCTTCGAGTTTGCAGACGAGTGGTGGAAGGACGGTAGCGGCAGCCCTCGGGTCCATGACACTGGTGGGATTGCGCCGGGTGGTGGCCCCTACCCAGACAAGACCTTCAATGAAGAATGGTGGGGCTTGGTCACAATCGACCGCGAACCACGGCTGGCATTCGATGAGTACGCCAAGACAGATTTGCCAGCGGCATTGGCGCAGGCTTCAGTCCTAACAGGCTAGCAAACCGAATCTCACTTATCTCACTTTGAGATGGCCACATCGCACGGCTTTCCTGAAAAGGCTTGATTGGAACGGTTCTAAGGGTCTCTAAATGTAAACATGTGTCTAGCACATGGTTGTAGTTTCGGCATGTTTCGGCCACCATGCACACCCTTTCCGGAAAGCAACCCCAAGATGATTTCCTGTACAGCTTTCCACGACCAGCCAACTTGGCCTTTTTGTACTCCTCCGCGCGCGCGTTCAACATCATCCTGTTGAGCTCGCGGGCGATTTGTGGCTTCGCGCGAACTGTGCGACAGCCTGCTGCGGTCCCCTGCCCCAGCCGTGTAGAGAAAGACATGGCCGTTCTCATCGTCGTTGGGGTGAGCTGGGGCATAGACCGCTACAGATTGGTGTCGCTCCTGTTGACACTCGTGCAACAGCGCACAATGCATGGATCCTGAGTCCTAGAAGTTCAGTCTGAACAAACCGTTCGACAGGATTTCCTGGCTCAGGACGGTCAAACCATGTTTGCAGACACGCCACTTTTGTGCAGCGCCTGACAGAGCAGGTCAAAAAAGATCTTTTTTGGTACATCCTCCTTTTGGTAGGTCAGCTGGGTGGTCAGACCGACCGAATCCTTGCCTGGCTTGCGCGAGGGTGAGAGCCGAAACCCTCCTCGCATCTTCGCAACTACCCCCACCCCCCATTCTCAAGTGACGATTGGAGATTCCGAAACTGCAGCAGCAGGTTGCACCTCCGACGAGGCTTCGCAAGTCAGGCCGGTATGGGAAAGACAGTGAAGAATAAATACCAACTACGGTACAGGTGCCTTCAACCAGTCACACAAATGTTAAGCACTGAACTCCGCAAAAAGGGGGCCAGGTGCCAGCGCATGAGGGATAAAAGGGACGACAAGTCATGATCAACAAAACTAAAATGTAGCAGCACAAAAGCAGAAATAGGGGTCAGAAACAGCTTTCACACAGCCTCCAAATGCTGCAAATTACAGCGATTTATGATTGTTCACACACTGCAAATACCGGGAACTGCAGCATTCTGATTGTTCACAGTCTGCAAGAGCTGCAAACTACAGCATGTTTCCAAATATCGTAAACTACAGCCTTTCTGACCCCTCACAGGCCACACATACTGTAAAGTAACTCCAACACTTGCAGCGAATACAATTCAAAGGTTATTGAGGTCAAAGATCAACAGTTTTGGCTTGGTGGCAACAAAGCCAAGGAGCTGAGAAACCAAAAGGAACCTGCACAGACAAACCAAAGGTCAACAGGGCCGACACAGGCAGGGAGCCGAGAAGCCGGAAAAGAAAAACGCAAGAACCAAGAAGCAAATGCCGGTAATTTGTTGATCCTTCTTAAGCCTTCTATTGATTCTCATTAGCATTTCAGATCCTTGTGTCTAGTAGCACCACGTTGCGCGGATGCTCGCTCGTCTTCCCTTCTCTTTATTTTATCTCTCGGAGCAGATGTGAGCTCTCCAGGCACCCCGCAATCCGCCCGGGCTCAGAAGAGCTTGAGCCGCTACAGGAGCCGAAGTTTCAGGTGAAGAAGATGCTAGTTGTTTATGTTCAAAGGTGGGTTGTTCCTGGCGCACAGCTGGGAGCAAACTCTCATTAGGCTTGCCGGATCATTTCGGCACACTTCAGATAAAGTGGAAGCTGACTCTGTGTCGATGAACAGTGCCATTGTCAAGCAGTTCAGCACAGCACACTGTTTCCAGCCCCCCCCCCCTTCCTGTGGACCCTCTGTGGTAGGGGTTGGGGGGTTGGGGGGTTTAGGGTGGGACAAGCCGTTCGGGGTCTGTCGCTCTGCGAGCCCTCTAAGTTGTGGTTCTTAGGGCTTTCGGGCTTTAGGGTTCAGGGTGGGGTGCTGACACCGGACACGGAACCATAGATGGGAAGGTAGGCCGGTGCAGCTTGCGCAGCTTGAGTTCTCATGCCCGAGTCTAAATGCCAAACAATCTCCAAAATCCTTCAAATCCCCTCCCCCCTCCGGTCATGTTTTTTCTTGTTGCTCCGACTGCTGCTCAGGAGATTCCTGGCTGGTGCTGCGGCAACAGCTCCGGAGCCGTTGACATTTGGTTGTTTAGAGGGCTTTACTTGACCTCCCAAGAGCAATGTCGGAAAACAACGCCTCTGAAGTCAGAAGGCCGCATCTTCCAATCGCATGCAGCAACCACACAGTAAGGGCAGCAGCAGTTCACAGTTCATGCCCCTTCGAGTGGACACTGACGAGCGCGCGTGACATTCCGGACGGCAATCCCTCATGTGCCACCATGTCGACCGCTGTTTCTTTTGCTTTGACTTGCAGGAGACCAGCCAGCAAGCTGCAGGACCCTTGAGCTGGCCCCTGAGACGTGTGAACCGTGGGAGTAATGTGAGTCTTTTCAGGTTTCGCGGCAAAGTTTAAGTTGCAACAAGTGCTTCAGTCGTTGGCGTGTCGGGCTGGGCTCCGCCATCATGCCGGGCATGCCGGGCATGTCGGGAGCCTCTTCAGCATCAAAATGCGAAAACGTTTGATTCTCAGGCCACACTCCGAAGAGGGCCCGAATGGAGACGCCTGCAGCGTCCCAAGACCGCGCAAGGTTCGAGCGTAGCTGCTCCATGCTTGGTTTAGCTTGTGATCTCACGGAATCTATCAAATCTCATTTCCTTTCGGAACCGAGGCGCCTGTCCCGGCCTAGCCACTCCGTGCACTCCAAGAAGGCTGTCGAGGTGAGCATGCTGGGTACCTCAGACTGAGATAGCTTTCTCTTGCGTAGGCGGAGCTTCACGGGGTGCAGCGGGATGAAGAGAGTGGTCCTGGCGTCTCTGCCCAGCCTCATCTTTCCTTCTTGTAGCAAGCTTTGCTGCCATACTCTTGCCTGCGGGGCAAGCTGCAGACAATGTGGGTACACCACTGTCGTAAACCGCAGGCCTCAGCCAATCACAAGCCTACTCAATCCTGAAGAATCCACCTCCAGAAGCTCCGAAAGGTCAGCGTACCAGTCTCACCGAGTCTTTTGAAGTTTCGCTTATAGGGGCATTGCTGTTAGGGGGATGTACTGCTTCATATTGTTACACATAGTTCTGGAAATGCTACATGTGAAATCCATTGGTTAGCCGCTCGACGCGACAAGCTCAAGCGTGGCACCAATGAAAAAAGGGATGGTTCGGGGATGGTTTGGCCGACATGGTAGCGGCTGCGCTTGCGGAACGGACGCTGCGGGAAGCCAGGATGATATGCTTGGGATGGAGGGCCCAAAAGGGCTACAACTTTGGCGCGTGCAGGCGTTTCCGTTCTGCAGCAAAGCAAATGTGCATCTTACATCTTCGCAGTGAACCCAACCAGTGAAGCTCCCTCAACCCAATCCGACTTTGGGCTCAACAGCTGAGTAATTAGAAGACTCGTCCGTGGGCAGCTCGCGGGGAGCTGAGATTGCATCCGGGATCCATCCTCACCTGCTGACCGTGGAGTGATTTCTGAAACCCCAAGCGATTCATTGCACGGGAACAGAAGAGCCGAAGGTTCACTTCATTCAGGTGGGAGCTGGGCCCTGCAAATATCTACCCGTTACGTTCCGCAGCTATAAAAATATGTTCATGCAAGGACAACATCCAATGAACGCTTGCCGTATCACAGTGTTGGCACGAGAGGGCTTCTCAGGTTGCGATGAGTGCGCCGCGCTCCCAGTGACAGTTGCGGTCATGCTGGATCCGCCTTCGCATCTTGAGCAGCGTCCGAGATGAACCCGTAGTGTCATGAAAGCCATCGAGCATTCGAAGCACTATTCTGTGGGGCGCTTCGTGCAGCATCAGTGCTTACTTGGGGAGACCGAGGGCAAATAGGCGTGCAGGTGCGTCATTTTAGTGTGCGGATCGCTTTGAGATGATCTGTTGACAGATCGAGACGTCCTTTCGTACCACTTTTGTATCACAGTAGTTCTTGCCTTCAGCTAGCTAGAGTCCTAGAGTTCTGCAGCCACTTAAGCCCGAGGCCTCCGCCGCCACCTGCAGGATCCTCCTCGGATGCAGGTGAGCTGATGGTGAGCAGGTAGAATTCAGGGTGTTCGAGCCTCACGTACGGCGATCGCATCTCAGCTGACCAAAATTCAGGTTAAAGCCAAGCAGGGGGCTAGGCAGGGCTTGCGAACGCTGAAAGATTTTATGAGCATACTAGGCGCACCCCCCCCCCCCCACCCAAATCAGATGCCGTCAACGGTGCGCATTTTTGTGTCTCAGGTGGAATGCGAAGAAGGCCGGTGCCAGTGCACTACGTTCGGCTCCAAGCCCCAACATTCCCCGATCGGTCCATCGGTTGATGCGGATCAACGTGGAAATGAGCCAGTAATGTAAACGGCACATTGAGGGCACTGCCTTCAACGCAGCAGCCAGGGTGGGAGTTTGCGGCAGGGAAGACGAGGGAATAAAGCCTTCGAAGAACCGGACGGTAGGAAAGGCCGAGCCTTTCAAAGAGCTTCAGGGCTTTCAGGTTGGGGCTGAGGATTGGAAAGTGACCCAAGCAGAAGATGACGACGAGGGCGAGGACTCGAATCCAGCTTCTGTCTCACTGTGGGACGCCTTGCAGTCATGGATATGGGGGGAGGGCAGAATCTAACCTAGCATTGCCTAGCATTGCTTTCTACGTCTATAGAGGAAGGCTTCGTCTTCGAAGAGGAGCAGCCCACCAAGCTGCAGGACCCACTGGCAGCGACCAGGGGGCAAGGGCAGCTCTGGTAAGTTCAAGACCTTGGGTTGAAAGATCTCGCAGATGCATGCCCCGGTCAGTTTAAGATCATCATGGGCTTGTTCGTAGGAACGGGATGCAAACGTTCGCGTGAGTCTGTGATGGCAGTCGCCGTGTAAGCAGCTCGTTCACGTAAAACTGGACAGGCTGAAGACTCTCAACTCTCAACGGCTCATGCGTCGTGTCCAGTGTCCAACTTATCCCGACAGCCTGCGCATCACGTGTGATTTCCTGCGACGTTTCTTTGGGTTTGTGCTTGGGTCGTGTGAGTGCGGGTTCAACTGAAAGCTACACGGGAAATCTACGACACATCTCGACACCCAAACCTGGCTTCGAACCTGAACCTGTAGAAATGTTCAGGGTTTGGTGGGGTGTTGACAATCCTGCCACGTACAGATTGAGAGACAGAGAGAGACCACTTGTTTCAGAACGGCACAAAGCGGCACTGTTTCACTCGCTGGAGCACGCCCTTAGGGCGGCGCCTCTTGGGGGGCTATGTGCAGAGGAAGGAAGGAAGAGAGAAGGGGTTTGAGCATTACTGAGGGGCCTCACAGCACGTATGGCTGAGTTTCTGCAGCAGGCACGCAGAAGATTGAAGGCATCAGTGGTTCCAATGCTTGAAGACTACCGTGCAGCCAGACTTTGCAGGAGTACATGGGTATTTTCTTCGACTACATCTTCTGGATTCTTCTAGCCTACTGCGTCAATTCCTCGGTGATAGGTCGGGATAATGGCACGAATTGGGAGGGAAACGAATTTCAGCGTCACGCTCTTGTGTGTGAACAACTCCATTTGGACAGCAGTCGCAAGTTTTTGCCCGGCTCAGCACAAGTCTCTTGTGCCGTCATGCTGGACGTTGACATCCCGGCCCAGGCAGTGAATGCGCTCATCTGGGTTGGTGAAAAGCTCGGCCGGGCCCTTGAGCTTGCTTTGTCAACAGAAGGTGGTTTCAGGCACCAGCATGCCCCACAAAACCTGGAGGGCCCCTAGGCCCTAGCTGCAGCACGTCAGTTTGGGCATGTATGCGCGCCAGCTAGGAAAAGCATGTGCGCTAAAGTCGGGAACTGCCTGCTGCGTGCCCTGCGTGGGTCAAGACTGGCCTTCCTGATAGTACGAAACCATCAGCCTCCGACGTGCCAGAAGCCCGAATGGAGGGCCTCTGCAGGACAGCGGACAGCATGTTAGAATGCGGCAGATTGCCTTTTGTGACGGATCTCTTTTGGCGAAATCGATTCCAAACAGCTTGGGCTCCAAATTGTGCATCTGTGTGTGGGCTGTGCAGGATGCGCTGGCTCTGGCAGCTGCTGCCGCTATTGTTCACTTCTGGATTGGGAGACTGCCACTAGGAGTGTCATAGCACAGCTCAGCGGAATAGTCCTTTAAGGGATGAAGGGAATTCGTTAGACCTGTTAGCATGTGAGGTTTGGATGCTGTAGGAAGCTGGGGCTAACAGCCCCAAAGACGCGCTTGTCAGGCTCCTTCGATGCAGTGGCGGAGCTGCGGAGTGATGCGGCGCCTATTTGCGCATTTAGCAGGTTCATGGAAGCATGTGGAAGAGGCGCCTTTGGAGTTTGAGGTCAATGTGGTCATGCTGGAAGCTGCCTCCTTGCACAGAGCTGCTAGAGCCTGTGCCTCTCCAAGGTCAGCACCGGCTTCGACCCAGCCAAGCTTGCTGGCAAGTGGTATGAGCATCGTGGTAGGAATCGCGCAGATTTCTGTTGCGAGGGGCGTGATTGATAGTAACAACTCACTGGCGTTCAGAATTTCTCGTGGGTTGATGTACAACTAGCCCAGACCTGTGGCAGACGTTTCGATGCTCCCTCCTTGACACCCGATGGCTGTAGTCCTCAGGCAGCTGTACGCCGACTTCGCACAGGCCGGAGCCTCATGCCAAGAGCTGGACTTCAGCATAAACTCGGGCGGCTTGGACTCCAACTTCAGCGTGCTCTACCATGGCGTCCCCTTTACGATCCAGGAGCATTATGTGAACCACGGCACAGACACGGCAGGCGTGTACAGAAAACATGTCCGAATTCCTGGCGGCATACCGGGTGGCACGCTGATCGGCATGCCAACGGCGGTTGTAGATGTCATCCCCGATAGCTCAGGGAGCAGATACGACGCAGTGATCCTGTACTCCTGCTGCCTGACTGATCCAGTAGACGTAGACCTATCGCGCTGACAGAAGCATGTGCCCTGCATTTGCTTTCGCAGCTTGTTGAGGCTGGTCGGAGTTTATGAAGGTGGTGGAGATCGCCACGCGCGAAGCCGTGCTCGACGAGAGCGTCCTCCAGGATTTGCTGCAACGAGCAGGGAAGGTGCCCATCGCACGTGATGAGATCAAGCGGGTGGATCGCTCGAAATGCAACACTACTCAGTCACACCTTTTTGTGTGAGATGAGCTGGAGTCAGCTGGAGTGTTCCATGCACCTCGAAGCTGAGCTCGCAACTGGGTTTCTCTTTCGTTTCACCCGCAATTTTCGAAGGCTCGCACGTTTGAAGGATGCGCCTGTTCTGAGGAGACAGGCTCAAAGCCTGAAGACAGTTGCAGAGCATAGCCGAACAATCTCTCAATTTGTCACGTGCACGAAGTTAGGAGATCAGAGCAATTGGCCTTTAAGCTCCATTGCGTGTTGACAATGAGATTTTGTTGTCGTCCCGGCGGTGGCACTAGCCCAGGGTCATCCGCATGTTCATGCCAATTCAAGCACAACGCTTAACCAAAAAAAGAGACACAGCGAAGGTATTGCATTTGCCCGCCCGCGCACGTGCGCGCGCAGCTGCTCTCGTAGCCGCAGCCGGAGCCGCACCCACCCCCACGCAAATGCAAATAACGCACGCACGCACGCACAAGCGCGCGGCCACACACACCCACCCACACCCACCCACACCCACCCACACCCACCCACACCCACCCACACCCACCCACACACACCCACACACACCCACACACCCACACACCCACACACCCACACACCCACACACCCACACACCCACACACCCACACACCCACACACCCACACACCCACACCCACACACCACACACACCCACACACCCACACACACACCCACACACACACACACACACACACACACACACACACACACACACACACACACACACACACACACACACACACACACACACACATACTCTCGCTCCCTCACTCCCTCACTCACTCACCCACTCCTTCACTCCTTCACTCACCCACTCCTTCACTCCCTCACTCCTTCACTCCCTCACTCCCTCGTTCCCTCACTCACTCCCTCACTCGCTCGCTCACTCATACACTCACCACTCTCAGTTTCAATCTCACTCTCACTCACATTCTGACTCAAACTCACTGACACTGACACTTGTCGCAAACGTTCCATTGGCATCATGAGTATCTCCAACGCAGCTTTAAGCGTGATTCCTTTGACCACCCTGATTCTTGCCACCGTGAGCCCGTAAGAATGATTTGCCCCCGTATTTAGGAGTTGCATCACGAGGCCAGTACTGTAGAGGCTGGAGACAAAATCAATTGCTTTCTAAAATGCAGACTCTGTAGACGGGCGGAAGTCCACCGCGGCGGAGGTGTGTCAGGGAGTCAGGGCTCCGTGCACACTTTTCCAGCAAGTGGCGGCGATGGGATAGAAGCCGTGATCTGCCCCTAACCTAGGCCCGAGCCTGCAGCTCAACGCCACAATGGAAACAACACACTCACTCTCGGGCAAACTCGGGCACGCCAGCATATACTTTGCAGAGTCTTCAATAACGGGCCCCTTTACGGGCAGCCTCCGTGCTTGCGGCTTTGAAGACGTGAGGGAGGCCAGTGCACAGCAAATGATCAGGTGCCGGATGCTGTCGGAAAAGCTGTGTCTTGCTGGGACATCGTGCGGTCGAGGCTTGAGGCTTTGAAGTCGCGACGGAGAGGTTGACAAACCTGGTTGACTGGTGCAGGGATTCAGACATCGGCCTCTGGTCAAACCGTGACCCTGCACCCCATGACCTCTCATAGCGCAGACGAGGCATTATCTCGCCACAGTTTGACGAGTGGAACCCGGTACGGCCGCAACCCCAGCGAAGGGTGTCCATGCGAACCACCCTGGACCTGGGAAGACCCTTGTCCGGTGGCATGGGTCGAAGACTTATGCTGAGGTGGTTTCATCATGATGCGCACGGGCTGCAGAAGGAGCTTTATAAGTCCGAGCGCCCAGTCTTATGCTGTGCAAGGGTCCAGTTACTGGGCATTGCCGGGCTTGGTCAAAGTTTGCCCCATGCCAATACAGCACAAGGCCTCCGAAACAGTGGACATCTGTTTGCAGGGAGAACAGGAGACATGCCCGAGATTGCAGACATTGGCATGGTGTGATCCCCAAAGCTCCAATGAAGGCAGCGTGCAGCCATTATCATGATATTCTATTGGTGCAAGCATGCAGACGCAGCAGGCACAAGCACCCGAAATCGGCCCGAAATCGCACGCTTGGAGCTGACTACTGCAGAGAGCTTTCACGCCAGACATCCCCGCAAACACCCTTTTTTTGACTTGACCTGGAAGAACGTCAGTCGTTTTCCAATGTATCTAAGGAATGCTACTGCAAGTGCCGTTACCGCCTTGGACTTACAGTATTCTGCTCCAGCACGCAGCCGCTTGCCTGGGAGATTACTTTGCTCGGGCTGCTAGGGGCTATACGCTTTGGGTTTCAGCAAGTCTTTGTGAGGCCGAGCAGTTCTCCAACCTGAAGAAATGGTGGCCCGCCACAGTTTCGGCCCTGACTTTTCGTTGCACCATGGGCCTCCTCGTCAAGTGCAGAACCGGGGTTTGGGTCTTGGAGCGGAGGAGGACTTGGAATGCTTTTGGGGTGCTCGTCGAATGCTGTTGATGTGGCCTTTCACTGTTTTCTAAGGCCAGCATTTTTCCTGAAGAGCACTTGCGCTTTACTGATAACTCGGCATATTCAAGATAGATTGCGACTTTGCCCCGGCGAAATCGCGGGACGGCCATATTGCGAGCACGTGGATGAACTAACCTCGCAGCAAACCGTACTGCTGCAATACTGCTGTAATCATTACCCTGGAAAGAAGGACCTTTACCCTCCCATCGCCAGGATCGAAGGCGGCCCGGGCGGCTGGGTCAGCAGCAAACTCGTCCGGAGCCCATGGACTTAGGACTTGGACCTTGCGGGCGGTGGCAATTTGAAGGCTTCGGCATTGGACAGTCAGTGGTGGTCTGTACTGGTGTTACTTCAGCGGCGGCAGAAGTAATTTCAAACGCTACGCGACCCGCGGCCTGGCGCAGCCCCCTGAGCGTTGGAGAGGGGATTAGAGGTGGAGTGCCTGCTTTGTGCTCCCCATACACCTACGGCCCAAGGCCTCGGCGGAACGTTAAGAGTTTGAAACTATGTGCAACCCAGCAACACAGTGCCAAACTGGCTGCTGCGAGCGCAGAGCTCCTACAGACGGTAAGATCTCAAAAAAGCGTGATTACCTGAATTGGTTCGCACTGACACCCTGTGCCTGCCGGGTTGCTTGGACAGATTGTCAACGACTACCTCAGCGAGAAGGGTCCGCACCTAAGCACTTTGGGGCGTATTTCAGTCGGCGGCAACGGGTGGGGCTCTCATAGCGCCTGGCCTTCCCCGGTGCGAGGTCGGTACGATCGGCGTTTGGAGGTTACCGAGGCTGTGGCGAAGGACGCCGCAGAGCAGGGCAGGAATCGGGTGTCAAGGGCATACACTTTTCTGGAACTGTTGCCTTTTGGGGGTTAGTGGGGAGGGGTTGGTGTGAGAGGGTGGGTGGGTCAGAGAGGAACCAACCCCAAAACGCACAAGATGGAGAACTCTCGCATAAGTCAACAAGTGGACCAAGTGGCGCTGACTGGACACAGAGCACGGATGCCCTTCCCTGTTGGCTTTAGCTTTGGCTTGGTTGCTTTGATCACCACTAGAAAACAAGCAACTGCACCAAGGGAAGCAAACCAGCGGCAAGGACGAGGTTTTGGTCAAGCTACCTTTATCACACGTGCTGTCTGCAGACTTCTGCCAGCAACAGCCTCGGAGGTGCAGGGGGAAGGGCAGGCCCTTTACCCCGATAGCACGTTTGGCTTGAGGCCACAGACTGTAACCGCTTTAGGTTGAGTCTTTGACCGGACCATGGGGTTTACATGTGGCCCGTCGCTATTCCTTGCCAGTCATTGCCGGCCCGGGCGAGCTTGCAATGCTAAGGCAAGACCTGACGGACCAGACGATTCGTCAGGCACGGAGGGTAGTAGTGTGGGAGATTGCTACCGCGATGCGCGAATGCATCATCAGTGAGAATGTCAACAAAGCTCATTCGAAAATCCCAAATCGTGAGTGTAGTCGGCCCTACGCGAGGTGGTGGATGCGCAGAAACGGAGCTCCGAGCCAGTGGACATTGCACCCTGGACTTGGTGCCAAGCTCAGGCCATACTCAGGATCCTCAGCATACTCCCTTGTGATCTTGGCCTTGTTTTGGGGGGATTAAATTGAGGCACTTCAGCCCAAAAGGTAGCGTCAGTAGAGTGGATCGAATCTTGATCCTGCACATGCAGAACGTATCGGACATCACACAGACCGCGAGCGCTAAGCAGCGAATGTGCTGCGATCATCGTTGCGTTGTGCCTCTCTTTGCCTCTCTTCTTCTTGGCGTTCGAGGATCACCCTCTACACCCTGGCCCATGCCAAGAAGGATGCGTCAGCGCCCCCTTCCACAGGCAGTGCCAAGTTTGGTGTTCACACACTGTACGAGTCCCTGTCGCGGCCTTTTTTAGGCATTCGTGGCATGTGCAAACATGCTCAACTAGCGTCGCTTCGCCGAATGTGAGAGCTCCTGAAGCACTGTACAGTCGCTGTCGCAAGTGCTGGTACCATGACTAGTTTTGGGCAGCTTGGGTAATCATGGTGCCATCATGTCTGTCTCAAGATCTGTCCCTTCACTTATGAACATGGGCAAGCTGACATGTTGGCGACCGACAAGAAGACGGCCGAATTCAGCATGGCAGGTGGTTCTCGCAGCGTTCACTCTCGGCAAACCTTCTCTTTTACCACTGAGAAAAACTGAGAAAACTTGAGTGCAACAGGATGGCGCTTTGACACCCTCCTGAAGCAGGAGTACGTGGACGCTGCGCTGTTGCAGCCCCTGATGGTTTCTGTAGCTGGGGAGCCTTCGGTGCACCGCGTTGCTCGGCGAGGTCTTACTTGCCATTGTTTTGGGATGATGCCGGGACCTCGGACATGTTGCGGGACAAGTGATGAGGGCTTCCAAACCTCGTCTGCGTGCGCAAGTTTCACATACTTCGAGAGTTGAGCCTTTGCGAGCCTTTGTGCCTTGAGTTCGCTGTCAGAGCCGCTCCCTGCAAACTCGTCGCATGTCTTGTGTCAACCTGGCCAGAAATCCATGCAAGACACATGTGACATGCCCCCCTGCAGACGCTGCGCCATGCGACTTGAAGGCAAGTTTACACTGGCTGAATGGGACCGACCTGCTGAACGTCGTGTGCTCGAAGTTCTTGCATGCGACTGCTTAGCATGCTGGGGCTTGCGGGCTTGCGGGCTTGCATCTTGAAAACAAGATCAGCGAGGGGTCTGGTTGTCTCGCCAGTTTGCTATTGGCTGCTATTGCAGAGGGGTGGAGCCACAGGTCCACGTCTTGGACGTGCACGCAGCGATCGAGCCTGGAACACAGGGCTTCGCAAGCATCACAGTGCTGGAATCACACGCTGGAATTCTCGCAACTACTCGAGGACAGAGTACCACAAACTCAGCTACCTGGTGTCCAGCATCGAGTCCTCGATCAGCGTAGTGGAGCCTGCGGCTTTGACAACAGGGACATTGGAGTTGAGCTGAGTTGAGATTTTGTTTGTAAGCGACAGGGTTGGACTTATAGGAAGAATGCTAGGTGCTTCAGATCGGGAAGCCTTGGATTGCAGCCCCTTTCTTTTGGCGGTTGATGAAGGATCTCTCTCATGTAGGTTGGGATTGGTTAGCTCCACTGTCCTGTGTTTTTGATCGCAGAACAGCCACTATCGAGCTTCAGACTCATCATGGATCTTGCAGTGAGGGCATGTGCATGGTCCTTGGCTCAAGCCAGGTGGCAGTCTAGCATACTACAGCTTTGAGGCATCAGTCCGATGTTAGAAGTGTCAGCCTTGGCAGCATAATGCACGCGCCGGAGGAACCTCTGGCAGACCCAAGACGTGGCTAGCTGTGACTAAATTCGAGAAGTCGTTGCTTTCACAACGGTCGCATCTGCCATGATCCCAGACTTACCAATCACCCGCATGTCGCCCTGGCTGGCGCTCGGACTCTTGCTGCTCTCACCCACACCCTGGGATGCCGCTGATGCAGAGACCCTCTTCCTTAAAGTTGTTTGGATGTTGGAACCATGTATGTGCAGGAGGCGAGCATGAGCAGATGCATGCTTATTGAACAAAGTAAGCTTTCACATAGCACCCCCAGCTGCTGCAAGGCTTGGCTCTCAAGTCAGACTAGCCGTTGGTATCTAGTCATTCAGCACACAGCAGCACCACTGCACGAGACCCTGGCCCAGACTATCTTTTGTCAGATTTGGACTTATGGCCGTTGAGATCAAGTAGCCGAGGGTGGAAACTGGAAAAACGGGACCAAACTCGCAGATTAGATGTTCCCATAAAGTCTCCTCCTAAAGCCGTAGAAGTTTCGAGTTCGTCGATCCCAAAGGTGCAAACTCCCAGGCGCTGTGCTCCGTGAGCTGCCTGCCGCTGCCACAGCCAAGGACCCGGGGACCCCAAGACCCGAAGCAAGAATGTGACGACTTCTTGTCACTGTAACGATACTGCTGTTGAATCTGTTGAATCTATTGCCTTCCAGAATAAGGGAGCAAGGATGTCACACGCAAGGTCTCAAACTTGGGCAATGCACGCAACAGAGGGGGTATCTCAGGAGCTAAGTGCCTCGCAACGTACACGTTGCACCTTCATCCGGCGAGACACCATACATCATCACATGTGCCCGAGCCCTAAACACACTTGAACGGCAAGCTTGAACCAAAAGGTGGCTTTCCTTGTGACTACGGGCCATGGTGGCGAGGACCGACATCGGGATGCTGAGAGGCACTGGTTGGGCAATGTGCTTGCCGTTTAGAATCCCAGCCCCGAAGATGCTTGGGGGCCCGATAGACGGCAGGAGAAGGCGCAAAAGACCGTGGAAGCACTTCACGTGGACCAGCACATGTCCCCCGGCAGAAATGTGTCAGCAGTACAAACAAGTTCGGCTTGCTTTGAGTGGGCACCCCCTGCAAATTCATCGAGGACGGTAGTCCGGTTTCATCATGTCAGACCCAGCCCTGAAGCCGAACGGCGTAGCAGGAGGAGGAGTAGTAGGAGGAGGAGTGGGAGTCGGCGTCGAGTCGCAGTAGCAGCAGCAGCACTACTCTACTTCGACAATAGAATGACTCCCGGACAGTTTGGTCCCGATGTTTTGATCGTGCACATCTAAAAATGTTGATTCCCTCGTCAACTTGTTGATCCCTCACCGTGAAATACCTGGTCCCTGGCAGATACGTCCTCTGTGCCTCCCGCGCAGTGCGGCCGAGCCTGGACGACTGGATCCGCACCCGGCGACTGAAAAACGTCTTCGTCATCATGGAGCCTGGTTTGGGCAGGGAGGGCCCGGTGTGCGACCGGGGGAGCCTAGGGAGAGGGTAGGACGAGGAAAGGGGGACACAGATGGCTGCAGAGAGCGCGCCCATTGGTGATATGACGTGGTGTTTGTGTTCGGTGTGCGCGGCTGGCACTAGTAAAAGGTCAGAGCGCCGTTCAGAGCGAGGCCTTTCCAGGAAATGATCTCTTGGAGAGCTCCCTGAGTGGAGACAAGCGAAATCGAAATGGCTAGATATGTCACCCGGGCAGGTTTCCACAACCACTTCCACCTTAAGCTAGAGTAGGGTGCAATAGATGCACCGGCATTAGTTGCAGGTCCGTCGCTGTTCCTAGCTCCTACGGCCCGCGAAAAAGAGCTGCATATATATTATTGCCTAGGATGCCCTGAAGCCAAGAGTTTGATGCATGCCACCGGCATGCTGTTCCAACAAGAATCTTCTAGAAGGCTCAACTCCCCGCCCCTCCCGAGTCAGATCTGCAACACACTTCTCAGGTTTCAGGGCTCGCGAACGCATGCACTTAACAGTACTTGTAGGAACCATCCAAGCGCCATGTGAAGTTGTGAAGGAGACGGAGCCAGATCAAGCTTTCAACAGCAAGGCACGAAGTTGCCACGGTTTGGTTAGGGCTTTCGAGGCTCTGCTCGTAACAGGAGCAAACCCAGATGGGGCTGGCTGCAGCTACATGCTTACAGTTACATCCAGGCTCATGTCCTCTATTGGTGATGAGAGTTCTCGATGAAGGTACACAGGAATAGGGAAAACAGCTTTGAAGAGCAGCCTTTTGCAGGAGCTCCGTTTGGAGGCCACGCGCCTTCTGCTGGAACACCACACCTGGGACTACTTGGTGCTCGGACCTGCAAAGATGTATTTCAACGCATTTCGTATTCAAAAAGCTTTGAAGCTCTTTGTTGGAGAGTGTTGCGGGGGGTCGCTGCATTTGGGCGGTCTACGTGGGGACTCACCATGAGAAGCCGGCACAAGAGTTGCTGAACCCCAAAGCTTCTGAAGCTTTGAACTCATGGGAACAACGAAGAACCTGATCGGGCTACGGTCAAACAACACGAAATCACGATGAGGTCCCGGGCGGCATTGTGTTCAGATGCCTTAAACGTGCACTTGGAGGGATCATCCTCAGTGCTACAAAACGTAATCATTTGCGGCAGGTATCGTCCTTAGAGGAGCAAATCTCAAGGCAATAGCGTGCGACGCACTAAGCTTGTGAGTATCCCATTTGCAACCCAGTACCAGTGCCTGCATGTTACCAGCGCATGCGAATGGCAAGAGCATCCGGCTTCCCAGGACATCCATGCCCGCACGCACGATGATCACATCCATGTTGGCAGGGCGTGTGCATATGTGCGAATAACCAGAGCATCCATGCCCCAACGATGATGATTTCCATGTGTAGTGCTGGCGAAAGGCCAGAGCATCCATGCTGGCACGATGACAACGTCCTTTTTCTCGTTTCGGCTTGCGGTTTTTGCGAAAGTCTGCTGTAAACATGCTGCCACGCGTTCCAAACATACCTGACAGCAATCGTGGGGTAGGCATAATTACAAACATACGCTCATGGATCTCCAGAGCCATTTCAGACACATGGTGCATACCGAGATTCGAAGGCATATATCAGAGGCAACGACGTACAAAAAGTTAGCTCACACAGATGATGACGATCGAGGCCTCAGGTGTGCCAAGACATATGAACTATCCAGGCACGACACGGCAAAGTCAGCTTGAAGAGTTGGCGGCGCATTCAGCTCTTGCCACGAACTCATAGCACGAGCTTTCGTGAACCTGGGCTCGCCCGTCAAGTACGTATTGACCTTGCATCTGTTTTTGTGATCCCATCCTTCGTCTCGTTCATGACGACTTCTAAAAAAAAAGACAACAGCAAGAAGTACAGGTGCAAAGGGTCGGCCTGGCTTTGCAGCAGTTACCAGGCCATTTGTTCGTCAGAAGATGAGATGATGAAGGCTCGCATTCATTCACGCCTACCTTCGCTCATGAGCTTCTTCCCTCTCAGGAACATGTGTTAGTTTGTTTCCCTGGAGGGGTAGGAGGACAAGAACAAGAACGATACCAGCAGCACGAGGAACGGCAACGAGAACAGCGACAGCAGCAGCAGCAGCAGCAACAACAGCAAGAACAAGAACAAGAACAAGAACAAGAACAAGAACAAGAACAAGAACAAGAACACGAACACGAACACGAACAAGAACAAGAACAAGAACAAGAAGAGCAGCAACAACAACAACAACAACAACAACAACAACAACAACAACAACAACAACAACAACAACAACAACAACAACAACAACAACAACAACAACAACAACAACAACGACAACGACAACAACAACGACAACGACAACGACAACGACAACGACAACGACAACGACAACCACAACAACAACAACAACAACAACAACAACAACAACAACAACAACAACAACAACAACAACAACAACAACAACAACAACCAGAGCAACAGTGGTGGTGGTGGTGGTGGCGGCGGCAACAATAACAAAAACTACGAAGCCGACGACGACGACGACGGTGACGACGACGAGGAGGAGGATCGACGACAAACGGCCAGCGACGAGCGACGAAAAAAGCAAAATAGATGTGTAGGCAACGTTGTTCTTCGTGCATTTGGTTTCAGGTGGCCTGCACTTACCACGGCCGTCTCGGTTTTCGCGTGGTTGTTGACAAAATGAGTGTTTCGTTTGCGTCGTTTGGCAAGCGATAGTTTTCAAAGAGGCACGGTTGGCGTTGCGGCGAAGTCGAAAACATGACACCATGCATGTCGTTTAGTGGTCAGTTGCGCACGGTATTGTGGTTTACGTGTTTGCTTGGCAGGGAGGCTTTCGGGGGTTTGGGTTTAGGGTTCATGGACTCCGATGATCGTGCGGGCATGGCATGGTGCTCTGGCAGCCTCTGGCAATTCACACGCACAGCGCATCATGCTTGAGCCCGGGGTCAGTCCAGGTTACCCTGAACGCTCCCTGCATGGGGCCTACAAACAAAGAGCAAAATCAAAACAAAAGGAAATCTAATGCTTTGGCCCCTAAACCTGTTCAGCCTGTGAAGGAAAGAGAGAAGATTGAGCGAAGTAACAGATCTGAACACACGTTCAGCTCAGAGTTTAAAGTGGTGGGCTGGTTG